CTAAAGAAGGATGGATACTTTTGACGGTCACTCAGGCAGGAACATGTGGCAAAATAACTCACCTGTGAAAGATACAGACTGTATATTGGAGAGCTATCCACGTAGAAATATCGTAACTTTGTCATCATGACTGCATTATTTTTTTATTCATAAAATGGTTTTACATTTTCAATTATATCAAACTAATCCATGAAAACAGTCACATGGTCAAGTAGAAAACTTACCATAGGTACTCTGTACAAACCTAAGACGTTGGAGATTGCAATAGAATTTGTAGAAGATGAATCACCCACAATCCCTATGACTGGAGGATTTCCAACACATGTATCATCTACTACAATTTGATCCTCTTGACCACTGGCTAATGACAGTGCTCCACGGAATCCAATTCCAAGTTCAAGGCAGTTATCATAAAGAGTGTATCCCAGAGTCACATTAGGTAGCAGGTTTGTGTTTCTGTTGATCTCATCAATAGCAAACGCCATGGTTTGTGCGAGCTTAAATCCTAGGACATACACACTAAGACAAGAAAAAGTTATTATTGAATAAACAACAAGATTTTTAAAATGTAACATATGTTGCAAAATTACTAATGTTATAAACAATTAAGAAAATTCAACAATAACAATTAAATGTATTGTTTAACATTAATAAAAGCAGCTGCATTTTTCAAGATACATGCATTTATTTCCGAATGGCATAGTTATTTTAGATACAAAATATTTTCTTTGAATTAAGTTTGATAGTTTTTCTTTTTCTTTTTCTTTTTTTTTGTAGTTTTTTTCTGTCATTGTTACCCATGGCAAGTAGGCTGTTGTGGCTGTGAGGTAAAAGACAGATCAGAAACACTTGAAAAGTGGACTTGAAACAGTCCCCCCAGAACCACATCTCCAGTCTTGTGCATCTCATTTAGATGAAACTGTCCCTGTAGCTGACAGGAAAAAGAAAACTGAGGAGATGATACACTAGTAGTAACACAGGAATACAGTAAAACAAGCATGACTAAATTGTTATGCAAAGATGAGCACATGGCAGCTTTCTGCATTTTTTACACCAGTCATTAAGTTTTATTGTTTGCCATTCTCTTTTATTGACATGCTGTGTTGTTTAGTTTTGCACACCACCCATCAGAGAAGAAGGCGGAGCATACTTTTCATTTGAGATTGCTTCAAGCAACCTTACCAATCAAGGGACTACCAAGAATTCATGCTTAATGTCTCAACAAGGCCATATTAAAAACTTCTATCCATATTTGAATTGAAACAGAAAACACAATAGTTGAGTGGGCAACAAAAATATATGAAAGCGAAGGAGGGTAAAGGGACCACTCTTGGTTTTGATAAGTTTATGTTCCTTCTAATCATAACCCATATCCTCTGTCATTCTTTATGGGAGTGCCAAAGTCTAGAGTTCTAAGATGGGGACACAGTCCCTAGGGCACCTCCTGCAACAGACGAGCCCACAAGAGGGCAGACCCATTTTTATCTCTTCAAGCTGCACCTGACCAGTCTCTGTTGATTAAGGTCCAGCCATTAGGCACACTCCCGCAAACCCCTTAGCATTATTTGGTATTGAGATAAAACATGTATTGCATTTTTAGGTCTATGTATGTGACTCACAAAAGGAGTTGACTTGGAAGTGAACAACTGGGACTTTTATTGCCTCAGTACAACTCATAAACACATACAATCACAATCAACCAAGTTTGTACACTAATAGTGCTTTTTTGGGTGAATAGATGTAAAAAAAA